GTGGCTTGGAAGATAGCCAATGAGATGCAGAGAATTGGGGATCAGAAAGGGAGGGCTTGGGGGGCAAAGGTCAGTGCTGACTGCGAAAGAGCCAGGGACAGGTCACTATGCTCAATAAAGAGAAAATTTCCTCAAAGATTGGCAGTTTGGAAATTCATTTATTTTGAGATAGCATCGAAACCTGACACCGAGATTGTTGGGGCCAATATGCTGACTCTTTAAACTGCTTAGAGAGAGCTGTAAAGCACTGTGAAGTGGTATATAAGTCTAAGTGCTTTTGTTATTGAAATTTCTCAATCTGGTACCTCCCAGATGAGCTAGCTTTTAATTCCCGTAATTTTCAGGGAGCGTGATTCAGCTGGAAATGATGGAAGTTAAAATCCAACACAGTGGAAGGGCACCAGTTTAGGGAATGTTGTGTTGTGGAATAGGGCTTAGAAAAAAACCATGGCGGATGTGGGTGTAATCCTTGATTTACGACCACAATTGAGTCCAACGTTTCTGTTGCTAACCAAGACAATTGTTAAGTGAGTTTTGCCCATTTTTTCTTGCTACGGTTGTTCAGTGAATCAACTGCAGTTGTTATGTTAGTAACATGGTTGTTAAGTGAATCTGGCTTCCCCAGTGACTTTGCTCATCAGAAGGTCACGAAAGGTGCAGAGAAGAGCAAGAAAGATGATTAGGGGACTGGAGGCTAAAACATATGAAGAACGGTTGCAGGAATTGGGCATGTCTAGTTTGATGAAAAGAAGGACTAGGAGTGACATGATAGCAGTGTTCCGATATCTCAGGGGCTGCCACAAAGAAGGGAGTAGTCAAGCTGTTCTCCAAAGCACCTGAGGGCAGGACAAGAAGCAATGGGTGGAAACCAGGGGTGAAATGTAAAATGTGTTACTATCGGTTCTGTGGGCGTGGCTTGATGTGTGTGTGTGTGTGGGGGGGTAATGTGACTGGGTGGGCGTGGCCAATTTTTTTTTAACTTTTCAAAGCATTTTTTCTAATGCTTTGAAAAGCCTCTGCCAATCAGGCAACTCAGCTGGGATCGTCAGAGAGGCTTTTTAAAAAATGCCTCTCTGCCGATCAGGCTGAGCCAGGCTAAGATTCGATATTGGGATAAATCTCAAATATTAGAAATCCAAATCTTTGGTCAAGACAGAAGTGCCTCTTCTGTGCCAAGGTGCTGAGATGGCAAACGGTATTTGACGTAGGTACAGAATTGTAAAAGGGCAAATTGACCCTAAACAGATACATCCTGTTGTTTAATGTTTATTATACCTCAAATGTCATGTATATCCTAGAGAAGAAATACTGCTTCCCTTACTGTCTTCTTTACTGCTCTTGAGGTGCCTTTGAGCCCCTTATCTCCTCTTTTATTATGTCTTGAGCTCCGGAGCTGAGAACCTGAGCCTGTGGGAAAAGGGCTGTTATGTCTTTCCTAGAGATAGATTAAAGGGTAACCTCTACGTGTGAAATGTCTCACTCTTCGTAATAACTTTGCCTTTATACTGTATAAATATCTGGCCGAAAACAGCCATCATTGTTCAGACCCTTTGCTTGTCTTTGGACTGTTTGAACCGTGCACAATAAACTTTTCTTGCATCGAAGAGCTTGGTCTAGTTTCCGTCTTTTCTCCTACAACAAGGCAACTCAGCTGGGATCGTCAGAGACTTTTCAAAGCATTTTTTTTACCACCTCTTTGGCCAAGAGGTTGCAGAAAAAAATGCTTTGAAAAGCCTTTGACGATCCCAGCTGAGCTGCACGATCATCAGAGGCTTTTTTAAAAAACATTTAAAAGCATTTTTTCGTCGGAAGAGGTTGTAGAAAAAATGCTTTTAAAAGTAAAAAAAAAGAGCCTCTGATGATCATGCGACTCAGCTGAGCATGGTGGGAGGGGGGGGGCAGGGATTTTTGCTACCGGTTCTCCGAACCACCCGCCGCCATCGCTACAGGATCAGGCAATCCGGTCCGAACTGGGAGCATTTCACCGCTGGTGGAAACTAATCAAGGAGAGAAGCAACTTAGAACTAAGGAGAAATTTCCTGACAGTGGGAACAATTAATCAGTGGAACAACTTGCCTCCAGAAGTTGTGAATGCTCCAACACTGGAAATTTTAAAGAAGATGTTGGATAACCATTTGTCTGAAGTGGTGTAGGGTTTCCTGCCTGAGCAGTGGGTTGGACTAAAAGACCTCCAAGGTCCCTTCCAACTCTATCTATCTATCTATCTATCTATCTATCTATCTATCTATCTATCTATCTATCTATCTATCTATCCATCCATCCATCTGTCCATCTATCTATCTATTGATGATGGCATGATTCCAACTGTGGGGATGCTGTAATGGTCATAAATGTGAAAAATGGTCATAAGTCACTTTTTTCAGTGTTGTTGTAATGTCAAAAGGTCACTAAACGAGTGGTTGTAAATCAAGAACTATCTGTAATGTAAAGGCTATACGTTGGTGGTCATCTCAGAAGAATCTGGACCACTGTGAAGAATTAAATACAGGAGTAAACTAATCTTCAGCTGATCCAACACAGTTCTTCTTTTATTCTTACATACTAAGTGTGAAAATATGATCCGGGCACATTTTAGTGTCCACATCAAAATCTTACACTTTTCTACCACATCAGTTGCAGTTAATTTTATCTCACCTAACGCCTTATCTAGAGGATAATTTCCACTTGACAAAAAAAGTTCTGACAAGGCAATCTTGCTGATATGGATCAAAGCCCACATTTTATCCCAATAGAGCTGCCACGTTTCCTTAAGATTCCCCTTTGTGATGTACAGACTTCTTCAATAATGGCTCAGCTTATACTACGGGAAGACTGGCCAAGTCTGAACAGAGTTGCATGTCCCCCCCCCCCTATACCACTCATGGCACCCAAGAGAGGAAGGTTTTCAGTCGGATGTGAAGCTAAAATGCTTTTGAATGGGCAAAACTTTATAAGTCAGCTGGATGGAATGTTGAGCTGGATGGAGTATTGACTTGATTCCCCTCCCCCCTGTTTATTTCTTTTTTTTTTTAATTTGTAAACTTTTATTAATTTAAGAAACCACAAAATACATTTATAAATACAAGTAAAATAATATACAACAAGCATCATCTTAATGACATCTAAATGTAATGTCTGAATTATTACAATATCAATAACCTATATTCTTCAGTATTTATTCTTTCTCTCACCTTATATAATGATATTATTTTATTGATATCTGGTATTTCTTTATTAAATTTCATTTGATGTAGAAATTTATTTTACTCTTTTAAGATCTTCCTTTTATTTGATTTTTCTTTCTTTTTTCCCCCCCTCTAACCATTGATACCACCTTTGCCAGACCAGATAATATTCAGATTCTTCCTTTCCTTTAATTTCCTTGGTGAGTCTATCCATCTCAGCACATTCCATAATTTTAGATACTATTCTATCTTGAGTTAGGACTTCTTCTTGTTTCCAATTTTGTGCATATGTGATTCTTGATCCAGTCAAGATATGTGTTATTAAATATATTATTTCTTTTTCATATTTACGTGTAGGTATTCCTAATAAATATGTTTCCGGTTTTAATGGTACTTTTTGAGTTGTTATTTGTTCCAATTGCTTTTTAATATTGATCTAGAATTGTTTAGCTTTGGGACATGACCACCACATGTGGTAGTATGTCCCTTTTTGTGCTTTACATTTCCAGCAGAGTGACGATGTTCCCACCCCCCACCCCGTTTCTAAACATCAATTTTACTTTTAATAAGAAAGCTATAATGTTATGCCCTGTTCCTATTGGATCCATATCTGTGCAGTTCCAGTGAGACACCTGTCCATCCATCCAACTATTCCATCCAGAGGTGGTATTCAGCAGGGGTGGGTTCTAAAATTGTTTACTACCGGTTTCGTGGGTGTGGTTTATTTTGTCGGTGTGGCTTGGTGGGGGTAATGTGACTGGGTGGGCGTGGTCAGCTTTTTTTTTTACTTTTAAAAGCATTTTTTAAGAGGTTGCAGAAAAAAATGCTTTTAAAAGCCTCTGACGATCCCAGCTGAGCCGCGTGATCATCAGAGGCTTTTTTTTAAAAATTTTAAAAGCATTTTTTTGGCCGAAGAGGTTGTAGAAAAAATACTTTTAAAAGTAAAAAAAAAAAAGCCTCTGATGAGGTGGGTGGGGTAAGTGAGCCGCGACCGGGCCGGGGACCGGTTCGGGGGCGTGGCCAGCCAATGTTATTACCGGTTCTCCGAACTACAACAAATTTTTACTGCGAACCAGGAGCAACCCACCACTGGTATTCAGCAGGTTCTGACCAGTTCTGGAGAACCGGTAGCAGAAATTTTGAGTAGTTTGGAGAACCGGTAAATACCACCTCTGACTGGCCTGCCCCCATCTATTCTCTGCCTCCCGAGTCCCAACTGATCGGGAGGAAATGGGGATTTTGCAGTATCCTTTCCCTGGAGTGAGGTGGGAATGGAGATTTTACAGTATCCTTTCCCTGCCACGCACACCAAGCCATGCCCACCAAGCCACGCCACACTCACCAAGCCACGCCTACAGGACCGGTAGTAAAAAAAATTGAATCCCACCACTGATTCCATCCCATCCCATCCCATCCCATCACATCTCTTCATTCATTCATCCCTCCATCCCATCCTTCCATCCCTCCCTCCCTGCCCCCAACCATCCCATCCCATCCCTTTCCATCCATCCCATCCCATCCCATCTCTCCATCACCCCATTCCTCCATCCCTGTCTCCCTCCCTCCCTCCACCCTTCCCTTCCCTTCCCTTCCCTTCCCATCCCATCCCATCCCATCTCACCCCATCCCTCCCTCCTATTCCATCCATCCATCCATCCACTTGGTTCTATGACTTGGTGGTTGTTATGTTCATTGAATGCATTGCCTTCATGAATCAAATCCCCACAAAAGTTTGGGCCAACTTTTCTCCAATCTCCAATCTCTCTAGAACTTGCCTGTGGAAAAAACTCCCCAGATAACGAGAGACATACATACCCTCACAACGGTTACCAAGCCTTCATTGGTAACAGGATCAGTCCTAACCGTAAAATGACCAGAAGGGTCTCCACTGATTATTCGGTAAACCGCATTCCAATTGGGTGAGTGGGGTTGATCTCGATCCATCACAGTCAAATTAGCGACAACAACTTCTATCCGGTTTTCTGGAACTTCACCAGAATACTGAAAATAGAGAAGAAGGTTGTGTTAGAAGTGCCTTTGTGTTTCTATGTGTGTATGTGTGTAGAAGTATCCCAATATATTTAGAGTTATTGAAACACCTTACAGACACTGTTGAGAAGGCATGGAGAAAAGCTTTATCCTCCAATTGTGCTTTCCTTCATCATGTTCATAGTTCCCATTTTCAAAAGCTGTATCTTAAGCAACACACATTTGTCCCCAATAAATAAAGTTTTATGTATTGTACAAGGGGCATTAATTCTACCAGCCCTACAGCTCACTGTTACTCCCTTATTAAGAAGCAAAGCTCAGACATTTTCCCCACTATTTAACCTTCAATGCTCTGGGCTTACCTTGTCCCCTCTCTACAGAAAACCTCAGCTTTCACCAGATAAATATAGTTGCAATTCATCATGGACTTTTTTGTGATTTCAACATAGAGTTCAAGATTTGGAAGGGGCTCCAGCTATATGGATTATCCAGTTCAGGGATGTCAAACTCAAGGCCCAGGAGCCAGATCTGGCCTGCAGGGTGCTTAGATCTGGACCGCAAGGCTGCCCTGGAAACCGCGAAGGACTGGCCCTTGGGCGGCCCTCCCAAGCTCCATTTTTGCTGGCAGAGGATTGTAGGAAGCCATCACAGCTGAAAATGGAACTCAGAAGCCCAATTTCGCTGGCAGAGTGATCGGGCCACCACAGGTGCCCCCAACATGAGTGACATTGAGCTGGCCATGCCCATCCTGGCCATGTCCACCCTGGCCCTCCAAGGTCAAACACAACCCTGATGTAGCCCTCAATAAAATCGAGTTTGGTACCCCTGATCTAATTCAACCTTCTGCAATGTACAAAGAAATAATCCATGCAAGGTAGCTGCCTAGCCCAGGGGTGAAATGTAAAATGTGTTACTACCGGTTCTGTGGGCATGGGTTAGTGGTGGGGGGTAATGTGGCTGGGTGGGCGTGGCCAACTTTTTTTTTTAAACTTTTCAAAGCATTTTTTCTAATGCTTTGAAAAGCCTCTGGCGATCAGGCAACTCAGCTGGGATCGTCAGAGACTCTTCAAAGCATTTTTTTTACCACCTCTTCGGCCAAGAGGTTGCAGAAAAAAATGCTTTGAAAAGCCTCTGAGGATCCCAGCTGAGCCACACGATCATCAGAGGCTTTTTTTACTTTTAAAAGCATTTTTTCATCGGAAGAGATTGTAGAAAAAATGCTTTTAAAAATAATTAAAAAAAAGCCTCTGATGATCGTGTGACTCAGTTGAGCATGGGGGGGGGGGCGGGGCGCAGGGATGTTTGCTACCGGTTCTCCGAACCACCCGCCGCCATCGCTACCGGATCAGGTGATCCGGTCTGAACCGGGAGCATTTCACCCCTGGCCTAGCCTCTTCTTAGAGACTTCCAGAGATGCAGAATATGAATGAGTGGACGATCACTTAAACACGAGTCAGCAGTGTGTGGCAAAACACTGCCCAAAAATTAGCCCCAAAAGCTAACACAATCCTTGGTTGTATAAACAAAGGCACAGAATCAAAATCATGTGAAGTCTTAGTACCGTTTTATAAAGCCTTAGTAAGGCCACACCTGGAATCCTGCATCCAGTTTTGGTCACCACATTACAAAAAAGATGTTGAGACTTTGGGAAAAGTGCAAAGAAGAGCAACCAAGACAATTAAAAGCCTTGAGACTAAAACATACGAGGAACGCTTGCAGGATTTGGGTTTGGCTAGTCTAGAGAAAAGAAGGACTAGGGGGGGACATGATAACAGTATTCCAGTATTTGAGAGGTTGCCACAAATCGGAGGGGGTCATCTTATTTTCCAAAAGCACCAGAGGGCAGGACAAGAAACAATGAATGGAAACTAATCAAGGAGAGACGCAACCTGGAACTGAGGAGAAACTTGTTAACAGTGAGGACAATTAACCAGTGGAACAGAAGTTGCCTTCGGAAGTTGTGGGTGCTTCATCACTAGAAGTTTTTAAGAAGAGACTGGACAGTCACTTATCTGAAATGGTATAGGACAGTGATGGCTAACCTTTTTGCCTTTGCGTGCCAAAAGCACGGAGAGCGATGGGGGTCGTGTACATGCATGCCCACACCTATAATTCAATGTGCTCCGCCCCGTCCCCCACGCATCTGCACCAGGGGTGGGTTCTACATACCTTTACTACTGGTTCGCAACAGGGCCACGCACTCGCGCTTGCTTCGCTCGCGTGCTCTTCTGCACAAGCGCAGAAGCTTCTGTGCATGCGCAGAAGCATTTTGATGACATCAGGGTCAGTGGGCGGAGCCTCCCGCTGGTTTTACTACCAGTTCTATAGAACTGGTGCAAACCGGGGGCAACCCACCACTGATCTGCATGCAACACCCCCGCCCCCATACTCCCTTCGCTTTTGGCACGTGATGGCACAGTGGACCCGGTAGGCCCATTTTTTTGCCCTCCCCAGGCTCCAGAGGCTTTCTAGGACCCTGGGGAGGGCGAAAACAGCCTTCTCCACCCACCCAGAGGCCCTCCGGAGGCCAGAAAAATGGTCCGTTTCCCGACTTCTAGTGGGTCCCGAAGACCCGAAAATCAACTGGCTGGTGTGCAAATGCGCGTTGGAGCTGAGCTAGGGCAATACTTGTGTGCCCACAGATATGGCTCCATGTGCCACCTGTGGCACGCGTGCCATAGGTTCGCCATCACGGGTATAGGATCTCAAACTTGAGCAGAGGGGCTGGACTAGAAGACCTCCAAAGTTCCTTTTAGCTCTATTCTGGTTAATTGTTTGAGTTTGGAAGAGTCCATCTGTTTATATCAGAAAATTGTAGCTCTCGATGATAGCAATAGCAATACCACTTAGACTTATATACCACTTGTGGCCCTCAAAGACCATCCTGTGTCATTGCAACATTTCATCTGGAATTATATTAATTGAAGGACTGGAAGGAGCTTTCTTCTGAATAGGTGTCCAAATGGAACATAAGATACTTAATAAGCAACTGACTTTCCTCTTGAGTGTTCCAATAGAGTGATAGAACAATAAGTTTGCATTGCCCTTGAAGGCAACTGATCTGCCCAAGGCCAGACCATAAGATTGCATCCTCCATTATGTTGCTCCTGCCGAGAGCATTTGCCATCTAAGTTCACTGCAAGACCTCAAACTTCAGATCGATTCTAATCCCCAAGTGGTAGAGTTGGTTGACTGCTTGTTACAATTCTTTTAAAAGGGCATCTTCCTTCAGGCTTATGCATTACCCTATTAAAAGTTGAGCTCACATGAAGTCCAAATCACTTCTAAATTATTGTCAAAGTCTGCTCAGCCCCCAAAGTAAAGGGGAATATTGCACACCTATCCATTTCCTGTCCATCTCCTTCTCCTCCTTTTTTTCCACCAATCAAATCCATTTCCCTGCTCTCCTCCCTCAAGGCAAAGGAATGCATGACATTCAATGTACTTGTTGATGACTTTTAGAGGGTTTGGGAAGGAGGTGATGCAATCATTCTTGCTCTCCTGGACCTCTCATAGCATCAACCATGGGTTCCTTCTGGGTCAGTTTCAGGGATTGGGAATGGGAGGTACAGGGACACAGTGGTTCTCCTTCCTCAGTGCCTGGTTCCAGTTGGAGTTGATAGGAGAAAAAAAGTCAGGCCCTAGGTCCCTGCAATGCAGGATGCCCCAGGCTTTGGCTCAGTAGTGGGCTTCAGATCCTTTAGCAATGGGTTCTCTGCCCCGTTCTTGGGTGGGCGTGGCCTAGTCGGCCGCCTGCACCACGGTGTGTGTGTGTGTGACTTTTTCACCCTCCCCAGGCTCTGGAAGCTTTTCTTGAGCCTCCGGGAGGGCGAAAATAGCTTCCCCCAGGCTCTGGAGGCCGGAAACAGGCCCGTTTCCAGACTTCCGGAACCTCCAGGAGGCTCGTTTCTTGCCCACCCAGACCCTCTGAGCAGCCCCTGCACTTACCTGGAATGATGAATGGACTACATAAAGGGGAGGGGCAGGGTGGGAGGGACGGGGTGAGGTCGGCATGGCCAGCCAGTGGTGGCATTTGGGGGCTTGCCAAACCCCGGCGATCCTTGGCTAGAGGATCGCCCGAACCCTGCTGAATCCCCAGGAGCCCACCCCTGCTTTGGCCATTCCTTTTTAATATCAGTACAAAACTGCTAGGAGAGGTCATTCATCAACATAAAGACCAGTATAATTAGTATTAGTATATTGATGATATCCAGTTATATATCTCTACCCCTAGTTGGACAAGTAATGCCGTGGCATTGCTGATTGAGTGCCTGGAGGGTCTGGATAGGGAGGAACCAGCTTCAATTCAACTGTGGCAAGACAGAGTGGCTGTGAGTTTTTGGGCAGATGGGCTGTCACTTTCCCAGACTGAGCTGCTGCACAGTTTGGCCAGGGTGAGACTTTGCACAGGTTTATCTACTGCGCGAATTGAGCTCTTTCCTAAACCAGGAGGCCTTGCTCATGATCATTCAGAGCTGCGGTGGTGCAGTGGTTAGAGTGCAGTACTGCAGGCTACTTCTGCTGATCACCAGCTGCCAGCAGTTTGGCAGATCGAATCTCACCAGGCTCAAGGTTGACTCACCCTTCCATCCTTCCGAGGTGGATAAAATGAGGACCCAGATTGTTGGGGACAATATGCTGACTCTGTAAACCGCTTAGAGAGGGTTGTAGAAGCACTGTGAAGTGGTATATAAGTCTGTGCTATTGCTATTGCTGCCTTGGCCATGTTGTGGCTCCGTCCTCCGAGCCTATCTTATCGGAGGAAGAAGGCTCCGAACATGACGGAGAGGAGATGGCCAGGCCTCCCTCTCCAGGACCCTCCTCTCTGGCAATGCCTCAGGTGTCTCCCGAAGGAGAAGAGATTGGCCAGGAGCCAGGTGTTTCCGAGCCGTCGGATAGTGACGAAGAAACATTGTGGTTGGACCCATGCCAGCGTCGGAGAAACAAGCGTGAGCAGCAGAAAAAGAGGCGTGCCAGAGATTAAGCTGAGTCCCTGGACCACACCCCACAGG